CTGTTCTTTCGTCTGCTCGGCCCTCCCCGGGTTTGCTGCTGGTTCTTCCCGGGTTGGCTACCGACCCTTCCACCTCCGTGGAAGGGCAGTTCCCCCTGGCCACATTCCCCACTTCCGCAGGGGAGCGGCACACTGCCGGCCGGCTCTCTTGGGGGCTGCACAGGTGTTCCCCTTAGATGTTCCTGGTGCATGCCGTCTCTCTCCTCCTTTATAGTCCTCCTCCGCCAATCCCAACTCGGCTGCCCACACGCCGAGTACGCTGCTCTCCTCCAATCAGGAGCAAGTCCTACAGTTTATTAGTTGAACTGGAGGCAGCTGTGCAGAAGCTGTTTATTTCTCTCCCAGCGCCATATTGTGGGAGAGCAGATGCATAGAATAAGTCTTAATTCCAGTAACTCAGTCCAGTCCGGGCTGCTCCCCACAGTGTGGAGATACTTCAGAAATATGAAAATAGATTCACCGTATGACCCAGCTATCCCACTCCTGGGAACTTACCCAAAGGAAATGAAATCAGCATATGAAAGAGTTATCTCTACAATCCATGTTTAATGCAGCTCGATTCACAATATCTAAGACACTGAAGCAACCCAGTTGATGAATGGATAAAGAAAATGTGGAATAGAGGGGCCAGTGCTGTGGTGCAGCGGGTTAGCACCCTAGTCTGAAGCACAGGCACCCCATATGGGCACTGGTTCTAGTCACGGCTGCTCCTCTTCCAATCCAGCTCTCTGCTATGGCCTAGGAAAGCAGTAGAAGATGGCCGAAGTCCTTGGGCCCCTGCACCCATGTGGGAGATCCGGAGGAAGCTCCTGGCTCCTGGCTTCGAATTGGCACAGGTCCGGCTGTTGCAGCCAATTGAGGAGTGAACCAGGAGATGGAAGACCTCTCTCTCTCTCTCTCTCTGCCTCTCCTCTCTTTGTGTAACTCTGGCTTTAAAATAAATAAACAAATCTTTTAAAAAATGTGGACTAGAGACAGTATGGAATATTAGCTATAAGAATGAATGAAATACTGTCATTCTCAATGAAATGGATGCAGTGGAAACCATTATGATTAATGAAAACAGCCAGTTCTCAAAAGGCAAATATATGTTTTCCCTGATTTGTGGTACCTAATATACAGAGTACATAAAAATGTAATGTATATGAGTAAAATTGACATTTTGAGATTTGATTATTGTTTATAGACCTGTCTACACTCTTGAGGAATAGTGATTTTGGTACTTACTATTTGTTGAATTCTTTATTTAGTGAAGGGTTAAGCTTATGATTATAAAATAAAATGAAAGAATGTCACTGAAAATATTAAAAAGTAAGAAAGAAAGGAAGTATGTGGGAAGGTGAGGGCATGGGTCAAGAGAGAAGGTAGGGTGGGAAATATCACTATGCTCTTAAATCTGTGTATATAAATCACATGAAATTTGGTTACATTATATAAATAAATAATAAAAATTAAGGATTTTGACTATTTTACTATGAAAATGTCTCTTTTAGTAGTAAAAATAATTTTTTAGCTTTGTCATTGGGATTTTTAAAAATTAATGTATTTATTTGCATGCATTTTGTACATACAGCTTTAGGAACATAGTAATTCTTGGTCCTATTTATATGATCACTTTAACACTTGATCCTATCTCTATAATCACTTTAAAACTTAATTCTATCCATATGATCTCTATAGTACTTAAGATGCTATTTTTACCACCCAGCTTAAGGGGATTTGGGAGTCCCATGGCACCTTAAAAACCTTAGAACTAAGTCTGCAGGAATGTATGTAAAACTATACTGCTTTACAGTTACAAACTTCATACATTTCACAGCTACAACTTAAGGATCATGAACAATTTCCCCCCTGTGCCTGCCCCACCCTCATTCCCACTCTCTTCCTCTTATCTTTCTAATTCTCACTCTTGTTTTTTACTAAGATTTTCAGTTAACTTTATATAAATATGGTTAACTCTGTGTTAAGTAAAGAGTCCAATGATTAGTATGAAAGAAAGAAAAGAAAAGTAAAATAAAATATAAAAGAAAAGAAAAACAAAACAAAACTGTACCTCAACAAGACAAGGGCTGTGACAATTTCACTTCTACAAGTTGCTTTTTAAAAGCTCCATTTGTTATCACAGATCAGGGAGAAGATACAGCATTTCTCCTTTTGGGACTGGCTTATTTTACTAAATATGATGTTTTCCCGTTTCATCCATTTTGTTGCAAATGACTGAATTTGTTTTTACTGTTGTAGAGTATTCCATGGTGTACATATCTGAGGGCCATTCTAATAGGAGTGATGTGAAAACTTACTGTGGTTTTGATTTGCATTTCCCTGACAGCTAGTGATCCTGAGCATTTTTTCATGTGTCTGTTGGCCATTTGGATCTCCTCTTTTGAAAAATGTCTGTTTAAGTCCTTTGCCCATTTCTTAACTGGGTTATTTGTTTTATTGTTGTTGAGTTTCTTGATCTCTTTCTATATTCTGGTTATTAATCCTTTATCCATTGTATTATTGTCATTGGGTTTGATATGTTTTTAAATTTTATTTTGTACCAAATAGGATTTAAAAATGAATACCCTTCTTTCTTTACTTACAGCTACATTTCATACAGGCATAGCAGAAGTCTCCTAATTCATTGTGAGTGTCCCTTCACACCAATTGTTTCTAAGGTATCGTAGCTGCTGGCAGTTATTCAAATATTCATGAGAACACCATATGATTATTTGTTCATTTTATCCCCTTTTGGCTGCTCCACCTCATGGAGCTAATAATAGATTGTTATTTGAATCTGATCCAAAGACACAGAATACTCTGAGGAAGAGGTGAAAAATATTTGAGATATGTCAATATATATAAATGCAATCAAATTGAATTTCTGGTCTGACCACTTATAAAAAAATGATTTATTAGCATAAAGGGTTTCACAAATTTTTTTAACATAAGATTTTTTTTAGTACTTTTAAGGAAGTTTTAGTAACTACAGTTTTTGTCCAAAGAATATACTGACTTAATTATCTAATGGAATAGGTGGCCTATAGGAAGAAAGCATAGAAGTCATTTATGTGAGATTAGGTTGGCAAAAAAAAATGGCTTCTTTTTAGATGACATTTACATCCAAAATACCTCTTCTAAAAATTAAACCAAAATCAACAGATAAATAATCTTCAATCCAAGGCTTCATTTCTAATGAGGAGAAAACAGAAAAATACATCATGGCCTTCAGCCCTGAGAGGTGTGGTGACTGTATTCAGAGACTGTCATCTGTGGTCTCCTAGTTTTAATTGGCCTCCTGGGGCATGCAGAATGCTATGTGTTTGTCACACTAGTAGAGATCTTGGCACAAACTCTTTACAGCTGTTTGGAACCTTAATGTACTATAGAAAGGGCCTGCTGGGTCTGGCATTTGCTGACACAGCCTTAGAGTCAATGGAAATGTCTGGCTTCTTTTTCAAGATTCTCACAGTGAAGGATCTGCAGACTTTAAAGTATACAAGAAGCTAAGAATTGCCCTCTGCAAAGCCAAAGCTCTTCCCAGCAGGGACCCTAGGGATTCTGGTTAGTACACTTTCTGCAGAACCCAGAAATATTTACACCTTCCCCATTTGAATAATGTCTTCCACAATAAAAGAATTTACAACAATTTCCTGAGATTTGTGGGACATAGCATCCCACAGCAAAAGTGGCAGTGTGGTAAATGTGGGCTAAATCCAGTGCATTAGCATTCGCCTTTTTTTTTTTTGGTTTGGATCCTCATAGTGTTTCATTTTGCTTTGTTTAGTTAATTTGAATTAGTTGCCAGCTTTTTAGAAACCAGAACATTTCACATCCAAAAAAAAAAATCCAGATTATTGAGCACTCTGGCAACAAGGGGTCCGAGTTCCTGCTTGGCAACAGCTACCCAGTGCTAGGTAGCAGCTGCCCTCTGTGGAGGGGACATGGGCTTTCAAGTGTCAGAGCCTCACTGAAAGGCCTCTTGCCTTCACATTCCCAGACTGCCTCTTTTGGATACTTCAACTAACAACTGCTATCAAAACAACATGTCTTTAAAATATTGATTTCAAACATTAAGAACAATAAATAATATTACAAACAGCATAGCCACCTTTTAGCTTAAATGATAGTATGTTCTTAAGTTTTTTTAAAAGAAGTAAAACATTACATAAATGCAAGCTCTCTATTTATCCTCCCTAAATCGTAATCTTCTTTTTCCAACTATATAGATATCGATAATTCTGATTTTGGTCTTTGTCAGTTTTATGCATGCTTGAGACAATTTTTTAATTTCTATTTTTGTCCACATGTAAATGAATTTTAAACATATCAAGATCACAATAGTTCCTTGTCTAAAATTCTTCATTGACATTCTGTTGCACTGCATAATAGAATCAGAACTTGGTCAAATCTACAATCTCCAGGCTCAGTTCCTAGCACTCTTCCCCAGCGGCTAATCAAAATGGGAGCTTTGAGGTAGGGTGTTCAGTGAAGATGCTCCTTGGGATGCCTGAATCCCATTTTAGAGTACCTGGGTTCAAGTCTCGCTCTCTATTGCATGATTCTACTAATGCACACCTGTGGGAGACAATGGTGATAGCGCAAATACTTGAGCGCCTGCCACTGAAATGGAAGACTCCAATTAAGTTTGTGGCTCCCGGCTCCTGGCTTTGGCCTGGCCCAGCACTGGCCGTTTCAGGCTTTAGTGAACCAGTAGACAGCAGATCTCTGTGTGTCTGTCTGTATTTTTCTGCCTTTTAAATACATCTGAAAAAGGAAAAGACCTGAGGCTTTTACCTCTGTTGAGAACCTTCCATGGGGCCTTCCCTGGTGCTGTGGTGTAGCAGGTAAAGCCACCGCCTGCAGTGCTGGCATCCCCTATAGGTGCTGGTTCGAGTCCTGGCTGCTCCACTTCTTATCCATCTCTCTGTGGCAAGGGAAGGCAGTAGAAGATGGCCCAAGTCCTTGGGCCCCTGCATCTGCATGGGAAACCCAGAAAAAGCTCCTGGCTCCTGGCTTCAGATCGGCGCAGATCCAGCCGTTGCAGACAATTGGGGAGTGAACCAGTAGATGGAAGATCTCTCTCTCTCTCTCCCCTCAAAAAGATTCCCAACCAATGAAACAAGAGGCAGAGAGTAAATGCTGGTTTCATCTTTAATGGCACATTTCTGAGTCATGTCCACCAAGGTGGGGGAACCTTTTTTCTACTAAAGACCATTTGGATATTTAAAACATCACTTGCGGGACATATGAAATTATAACCTTAAAAATTACTCTGCTATGGATTTATTGAATTTCAAGTTCTGACTGACAGTGCTTCCTGGGATCACACCCAAATCTGTGTTGGGTCTGCTCAAAGTAAGCAATCAACAGTGTTTGCCACTTGTAGTACAGGGTTTCTCTTCTGTGATATCTTCCAGATTCCCAACCAAAATTCACTTACTCCTTTGTATGACCATTATATCATCTAAACCACTAATATAGAACACTTTTAAGTATGTCTTTCTCCTATTACATTGTATGTTCCTTCAAGTCAGGAACCACCTTATCCATATTTCTATTGTTGAGAATGCTACCTGGTACATATTAGGTGCTTACTAAATGTATAATACATTAACAACCCAGTGTGTGGTTTCTTGCCTGGGACTCCTCAAAAAAATTCCCAATCCTTTAGGTACCCCGATCATTCCTCTCCCTTCTCCCTTTTATTGTCATCACTCCTATTCCTCTTTGCTTCAATAGCTGCCTCAGAGGTTAAATATCCGTGTTTTTCTAGGCAAGCAAGGTATTCATATGGGATAAATATGCTCTCTATAAGTTAATGTCCCTCAGACATTTATTTTCTTTGCCTGGGTTTCAGCATTCCCAATCTCTGAGACAGGTCTTTTAACCTAAACATTGCCTCACAGCTGGCAGATCATGTCCAGACCCACTGAACTCCAACTCACAGTGAAAGCCAATAATGCATGGCCTAAAATACAGGCAATAGGGCACAGGGCTGCCTTTCTACTGCTGCAAGGCCATTTTACTTGAAAAACTCTAATTCTCAGTGACATGTTTAGTATATTCCCATTTTCCCCCTTAACTTTATTGGTTCATCAGTAAAACTGAAACTGCCTTCAAGTATTGAAATAGAGTAATTGTGAAATGAAAGTCAAATGGATAGTACAGTAGCTACTATGCATTTGTCTTCCCCTTACTCTTTAAAAATTCAAGTGTTGTGAGGGGAAAAAGATGAGAAAAAAAGTTACTGTTGCTAACAAAATAAATGCCAATTCCCGACGAAGAGTGACAATTAAAGGAGAGGGGAAAAAAAGGCAAACTTGGCTTTTAGGCTTTAGGCAAAATTTTTGAAAGAGACAAAGAATAGATTTTAAGGCTAATAAGTCAGAGTAATGCCAACGTAAGTACTGACATCATGGGATTAGTATCAGAACATTACCAGCTGTTGTGGTGAGGCTGGGTTCTCACACTGACACTCAGCTGGCCTTTAGTTGCATGCAGTAAACAGTAGTGACGGGAGTGTGGAGGAAAGGGCGGGGCTGCGTTGGGGTCAGACAGGATAATCTGTGAGATGATTTGAGAAGCTACACCTTGCAAATGCTGGACACAAGTGCAAGCAAAAATGAGCTGCAATCAGGATGTTAGTCGTTAACAAAGGCCTATTCATAGCAGAGCTAAACAAAGAATAAGTTTTATACTCCTTTCATTTTCACAGGCCTTCTCCAAAAACTAATACCTAATTTGTATTTGTTATCTTTTCCTTTCAAAAAGGTTCCCCAAAATATTTGAGATTCAAGCTGTAAAACATAGCTGTTTCCTGCCAGTTAAATTAATTTTTAAGGGTTACCAAAAATGTCAAGCACTGTAATGAAATACAGATTTAAAAGAGCATGCAAAAGGACTGCACTTTTGAAAATAAAAATGCAAAAATAAAGAAAGGCATAAGTCATATCATTTAATAATTTACTAATGGGTCAATTTTTATAATCTTTGATCAAGAGGTTTAAGATGTTAACTCTTTCCTTAAAGCTGTTAGGGTATAAATGAGGAACCAAGACAGGTGTATAAAAGAACTATTGCCTTAAAATTCAAACACAGTATTAACTGGTAAGTATTGGTTAAATGTGACCTTTGTGCTAGGCACTACCATAGGCATTGGGTATAAAATAGTTAACAAAACATGATCAGCCATCTTTCAATGGGGAAGAAATTTTGAACAATCAGAAAAATTAAATTTTGAACAGTTTTGTAAGAGAAACTATCAGGTTGTTATGACAAAGACCGAAGAAAATTAATCTATTCTAGATTACATCAGTGTTTGAGAAGGTGACACATCTGAAAGAGACAGTCATGAGAAGAGATGAAGGAAAACATGTTCTAGGCAGACATATAAAGATCTGAGATGGGAAATAGTTTGGCCCCCTGTGAGCAATGGCTAGGAAGCCAGTGTGTGTAAATACAGTGGAGGCCAGAGACATGACATGAAGCAAAAGACCCTGGTATTGGGCCAGCGCCGTGGCTCACTTGGTTAACCCTCTGCCTGTGGTGCCGGCATCTTATATGGGCGCCAGGCTCTAGTCCCGGTTGCTCCTCTTCCAGTCCAGCTCTCTGCTGTGGCCCAGGAAGGCAGTGGAGGATGGCTCAAGTTCTTGGGCTCCAGCACCTACATGGGAGACCAAGAAGAAGCACCTGGCTCCTGGCTTCGGATCGGCGCAGCGCCGGCCATGGCGGCCATCTGGGGAGTGAAGCCACGGAGGGAAGACCTTTCTCTCTTTCTCTCTCGCTCACTGTCTATAACTCTACCCGTGGGGGGATTTTATGCCTGCAGATGGAAGTGTTTGAATATTTTATGCCTGCAGATGGAAGTGTTTGAATATTTGCCATACTACTTCTCTAGGATGTAAGGGAAGGGATAGAACTGAAAAACTGATCTTGGTTTCTAGAACATAATAACAGCAATAGTACAAGATCCAACCATTGTATTCCAAGAGATACTTTATAAAAGTTGTAAGAATGGAATAAAAATTATGTATTTTTAAAAATGTTTACCTCTAATTTTCTGTCATAAAAAAGGACATATGCTTGCTGATTTGTTTTTATTATGTTAGAAAATGGTAAAAGCACACTGATAAGTGTTTCAAATAAAAATATTATAATTGGATGACAACATTATCATTCATGTGGGTTATAAAAGGATGAGTAAGGCTGCACCCTACCTCCAAGTTTGGAAGAAGTTAGCAACCATGCTCACAGACTTTAATTACAGATGAATATTATCTTCCTTTTCCAGCTAGAGGAGGAGTAGGGCAGAAACAGCAACTGCAACTGTCCAGACTTCTGAAATAAAGAAAGGCATATTACTAGCTGAGATTTGTGGAACTGTGTAACATATAATTATTATTCAATATTAACTTGGATTAAAAAAAATAAAAAGAATTTTATTGAAAATTTTTGGCTGACTTCTTTCTCTTGGAGAAATGTAAACAAATTTCCATTTTACTTCACAATGAAAGTACCAATTATTAAAGCTTGATAAAAAAGAAGTAGAGAGAGTCTTGATTATACTTGACTTTGAAGACAATGGCAAGGAGTTTGGATTTTGATTTAAGTTAAATGGAAAGCCATTGAAAATTCTAGGCCTGGAAAATAATTTTGGTTTGTTTCATACTAGATGTTTTAAGAAGATGTATCGCAGAAGCTAAGTTCTTTTTTTTTAACTTTTATTTAATGAATATAAATTTCCAAAGTACAGCTTATGGATTACAATGGCTTCCCCACCACCCCACAACTTCCCTCCCACCCGCAACCCTCCCCTTTCCCTCTCCCTCCCCCCTTCCATTCACATCAAGATTCACTTTCAATTCTCTTTATATACAGATCAGTTTAGCATATATTAAGGAAAGATTTCAACAGTTTGCACCCACATAGAGACACAAAGTGAAAAATACTGTTTGAGTACTAGTTATAGCATTAAATCACAATGTACAACACATTAAGGACAGAGATCCTACATGAGGAGTAAGTGCACAGTGTCTCCTGTTGTTGACTTAACAAATTGACACTCTTGTTTATGGCATCAGTAATCACCCGAGGCTCTTGTCATGAGTTGCCAAGGCTATGGAAGCCTTTTGAGTTTTGAGTTCATCAACTCTGATCATATTTAGACAAGGTCGAAGTCAAAATGGAAGTTCTCACCTCCAGAAGCTAAGTTCTATATAGGGAGATTAGTGTGTGGTGATCATAGAGAAAGGGAGTTAAGGGTGGAGATAAAATTGGGCCTTTAAATTATGGGTCAAATTAGATATCTAGGGAGAAGGTAGGAGAGGCATTCATGAAATGGGCAATGTTTGAGATTGGCTGGGGTAGGAGGAAGTAGAGGATATAAATCTCATCAAATTATAACAGACTTACTAGGAACATTTAGGTAACCAGGGCCTCTAGAAAATTCATATGCATCATATAATGGATCTGAAGCTTCAGAAACACTCATTTGGTATGTCAAGGGAGGGTCCATTAGAATATAAAGAAAGGAGCAAAAAAATACAAAAAAAATCTGAGCAATAAAATAAAGGCTGAGAAACACATTTCACTTTATATTTAGTTAAAAAGTAAAAAAAAAAAATTGAAAAGGTTATGCCTTTTTTTCAGTAGCAGACCAACAAGAAACAGAAAGCAAGAACAGGAGAAAACACAGCTGGGCCTATCGCTGACTTGCCCTAAAGGAGGGTGACATGAATCAAAAGCACAGTGAACATAGCGCTTTGGGCTTGAGTATGATGCAAACAAATATTCAATACGCCTAAATCTGCAAGGTGGGGTACGATAGCTGGTATCATGTTTGATTATTCAGTGTTGTTACAGTCCAGTGGTCCTAAGGAGGTGATAAAGGGGAGGCACTGTAAAGAATAATTTGGTAGACCATTTGTTACCATACATGATGGAAATTAAATAATTTACCTCGCCTGCGCTGCGGCTCACTCGGCTAATCCTCTGCCTACGGCTCCAGCACCCCAGGTTCTAGTCCCGCTTGGGGCACCGGATTCCACCCCAGTTGCTCCTCTTCCAGTCCAGCTCTCTGCTGTGGCCCAGGAGGGCAGTGGAGGATGGCCCAAGTGCTTGGGCCCTGCACCCGAATGGGAGACCAGGAGGAAGCACCTGGCTCCTGGCTTTCGATCGGCGCAGTGCCGACTTTAGCGGCCATTTGGGGGACGAACCAACAGAAGGAAGACCTTTCTCTCTGTCTCTCTCTCACTGTCTAACTCTGCCTGTCAGAAAAAAAAAAAAAAAAGTAATTTACCTCAACTCAGTCATATACACTATCCAAGGCTGAATTTTGGGTGTTTTGGCTTTAAGTAGGTGAAATACTAATTAAATATGCCAATCACTCAGGAAAAGGGGCACCTAACATTGTAAGTCTTAGTTTCAATGATCTCAGGGCCTAGATAAATCTTGGTTCAATTCTGAGTTCTCTATTCTACTTATTAGTTGAGTGGTAAATTATAGTCCCTGAGCCTTCCAACCATCCCCCTTTTTAAAATTTGCATTTGTTTAGACCTTTATTTGAAAGGGTAAGAGGAGGGGAGAGATATCTCCTCTACAGGTTTACTCCTCCTATGCCCAGAACAGCAGGGGGTGGGCCAGGTCAAAGCCAGCAATCAGAAACTCAATTCAGGTCTCCCACTTGGGTGACATGGACCCCACAACCTGAATCATCATCTGCTGACTCACAGGGAGCCATTAGCAGGAGGTTGTAAGCAGGAGCAGAGCCAGGAATGGAACCCAGGCCTCTTAATAGCTATATCAAAAGCTTCCCATTCTTTTTTTAAAAATATGCAGATACTGATACATGAATTGCATGATTGTCATGACTCTGTAAAAATGGTTGACACAGAAAATGATTTAAAAAAAGTTGCTTTTAAAATTATTAATGACACAATTCAAAAAAATAGTTTAGAGCCTATTTCTATTATTGTTACCCAGAAGGGCTATCATAGAACCTGAAATCCCAATTCATTTCCCCAGTGTTCCGACTTAAAGAAGTCATACAGAGGAGCCGGCACTGTGGCATAGTGGGCTAAGCTGGCGCCTGCAGTGCCAGCATCCCATATGGGTGCTGGTTCGAGTCCTGGTTGCTCTACTTCCTATCCAGCTATCTGCTATGGCCTGGGAAAGCAGTAGAGGATAGCCCAAGTTCTTGGGCCCCCACACCCATGTGAGAGACCCAGAGGAAGTTTCTGGTTTCTGGCTTTGGATCAGCGCAGCTCCAGCTATTGTGGCCAACTGGAGAGTGAACCAATGGATGGACGATCTCTCTCTCTCTCTCTCTCTATTTCTCAACATCTCCTTCTCTGTGTAACTCTGACTTGCAAATAAGTAAATTAAAAAAAAAAACAAAGTCATACAGATAAATAAGAATGCTATATCTTTTCTTATTAGAACACAAATGGTCAAGTACTGATGGTAAACAATTAGCAACATCAGAAATAATGGCTCAGAATTGTCAAGTGAGTCCTTGGTGAGCCTGATCCTTATTACCCTCTGGAATGGTGGTCTCCCATGACATATTAGAAAAGGCTGCTCAGAGTCTAAGGAGAAACTACTGTAATCCAGGATGAAGAATTTGAAGAATGACAGTGAAATAGGTCAGTTGACAGTTGGTGCAGAACAATCTACATACAGAAAAACTCTAAGTATCCCCTCAGGAGAAAGGACTTTAAAAAAATGCTACTTATGAGTAGAAAGTAGTTAAAAATACAAGTTAATACAGAAAAGACATAGTGGATATTGACAAAGTGACATAGTAGAGCTGCTGAAGTTTCCTAAGAAGTAAAGTAGAATTGTGCAAAGGGAATTTGAGCCTATAAGAGTAAAGATTATTTAAAGGAGAGGTCCTCTATGTGTTCATATGGAACCCTGTAATTCCACCACTGTTGCATTTACCACTCTAGAATGTAATTATGATGTTTTCCCATTGAGCACAAGCTCCACAACAAGATGTCAGTCTAACCTGTTTATAAATATATTTCCAGAGTCCAACACAGTGTTTGGACACAGTGATGTTAAACAAAGCCTTGACACTAAATGAATAGTTAAGGGAGTATTATAGGAAATATTGTAGCAACTCATGTGGAAGATAAGGTAAATATAAAAGTTTTCATAGGGAGGTAAAAATGCAGTATAGCATATATCTCATTTAAAAATGAGAATAAACTTATACAACCTGTGAGCATTATGAAAATATATAAGATTCAAAAGAAAGGTTAATTCTGAGTTGGAAGTATATAAAACCTTAACTTGTGGACGTAACACTAAAAATCAAATTCAGGCTGCCACCATGGCTCACGTGGCTAATCCTCCACCTGCGGCGCTGGCACCCCGGGTTCTAGTCCCCATTGGGGCGCCAGATTCCACCCCGGTTGTTCCTCTTCCAGTCCAGCTCTCTGCTGTGGCCCGGGAAGGCAGTAGAGGATGGCCCAAGTGCTTGGGCCCTGCACCCGCATGGGAGACCAGGAGGAAGCACCTGGCTCCTGGCTTTGGATCGGCGCAGTGCACCAGTTGTTGTGGCCATTTGTGGGGTGAACCAATGGAAGGAAGACCTTTCTCTCTGTCTTTCTCTCTCTTATCTAACTCTGCCCGTCAAAAAAAAGAAAAAAATCAAATTTATGCTCAGTTTATGGTGAAAATAGTTGTCATTTTATTATAGTTTTGGCTAGAAGGGTTATTATCAATAGTTATTTATATAAAGGATCTAATCTTGGAATATTTTACAAGGAGAATCTTCCAGTATAATATTTAATGAGGAATAAGTAGAAACAATATAGTTATTAATTCAGCACTGAAGAAGACAAGATTCCAGTTCCAAAAATCTCATAGACTAACTTTGACAAATGAGACCCATGGGAGTTGTAGGATGACCAGGAGGTGTTGGAATGGACACACTCATCTATTACTGCATGTTACTGGTGGATGCTTTAAGAGACCCCAAAGCTAATGAATATCACAAGGAACCAGAAACTCCCTTGACAGCCATGTATACATGGCTAAAATAACAAAGAATCTGAATGCAAGTGTTTGTACTACATCACTCAGTCTGAAATTCTATCCAATTCATTCAAATCCAGAGAAATGTGCAGCTTTAGCATAAATAAGTCACTCCCTTGAAGCATAATATTAACGTTACCACTGATGTACCCACTTTTCTAGGCATTCTTCATTTCAGATGTTCTTAATAAAACTCTGACACAGCATCTAATCAATCCATATTAAAGGGCCAGCAATAGGACTTGACATTTCTTCTGGAAAATTACACGTGTTAATATAAAATCTGGGCATTTGCC